AAATGAATGAAAAATGAACACAAGTCAATGCAAAGTCCCTGTAAAGATAGCAAAACAAACTTGTGTGTGTGTGTGTGTGCGTGCATAGGGATCCCATCTCTGGTGTGTTCACATGCAGCCTCGTGTGCAGACTCTGGTATCAGGCTTGAAATTAAAACCTTATGCGGAACAGGCTCATGATTGGAGTGGAATTAAAACAAAAGGCAGAGGAGCAGAGTGAATTAAAAGGAGAGAAGAGAGAATGGGAGCTGGAGGAAAGGAGGCGTTGTTTGGGAGGGGAAGGAGTGAGCGCCTGCCTCCGCTGCAGTCCAACAGCTTGTGTCTCTGGGATGCTTCTTATCAGAATGTCAGGCGGACCTTTCGGTTGACTTGCTCCCGTCAGCAGTCTGGTTAAATGTGAGAGCAATTAGGGAAATTGGCAAAGTCAAAGAAACGCCTCAAAGACACCTAACTGAAAAGCTGGGACGAGCTGGAGTGCAGATGTGCACAAGGAAGAATGTCTCACACATACACATGAACACGTCTCTTCACACACATACTCCCCACCTCCTTTGATGATAAAGCTCCTGTCAATTATGGCTTGTTGCCACTTCACTTTTGCTATACCTAATGTACTTTAGATCTCATTGAATTATTTAAAACATCTTGTATATTTCCACAGCATGTTTATGTAGTGAACTTGACCTGATGTCAAAACTAAGCCTAAGGTCAAAACCCTAGACCTTAAGAACCTTGTGGGACAGAAACTGTCATTTCATTGATTTGAATCCAGAAATACAGGTTCACCCATCCTGAGACTTTCTTTCTTGAAAATTCAAGTGAAAGAACACTCTCTTTTCTATTATCATTCCTGTTTTACAAATGTTTGATAATCAAAGTGTTTTAGTTCAAACATTTTAGATGTTACAGTGAACTAATCAATTTTATTAACTGTAAAACAGTAACAATGATTTTTTAGTTGCTTATGCAAAGTAGAATTCATGTTAAGGCCTGTTACAGAGTAATTATGCATTTTCTGATTTCTGTCTTTGAATGAGCAGTGTACGTTTGTTCCAGGGTCAGGAGTCGAAGCAGACAAGTGTTGGAACAACTGTCTTGTTTTTAAATCCTCTCAGACGTAAACAGAGAAGTTGGCACCTGTTTCTCCAAACTCGCCCAAACATTTCTCTCGCCTGTCTGGGAAACATCTTCAATCTGTTCCATAACATTCTTGCTGGTTTCTGACTTTCCATAACACCTTACATCACAAAACACACCCCTGTCTGGTTGATATTGACCAATCAGAAACTCTCAAATATACCAGAAATAGAGCCCTTTAAAATGTCGGTACTTCCTAGTTCTCCCAGTTCTGAGATGATCGTAGTTCTGTGAAGTGGCAGTTCTGTGAAGTTGCTGTTGGGTCGCAGTTGCCGTTGGAGTCGGGCTGGAGAGTTTGCAGCTCCAGTCGTTTGGGAGAACAGAAGTCCAGCCATGATAAGGCTCTTCCGAGTTTGGGATTATAACATCTTCCACCTCTGAGTGGACTCGGACGAACCCCACTCATGTGAGGTCCACTCGTTGAGGTGAACTGTTGTTGACGAAGTCCCGTCACCACTCCGGACGTATCTCTGCCATCCTACGGAGACGCTGAAAGGTAGCGTTAACTGGAGCTCCTCTTCCGCTGATTCATCGTCAGAGAGGTAAATGAGTCTAGTCCACTACTGAGCGTACCGAGGAAAGCTGGGTCGGATGGAGGGTGTCGTCCTGTCAACACTTTTCACTCATACACACCACATTCTCCCTCATCCATCTTTCACTCCCACTAAACTTCATCTTTCCATCTTTAAAAATTCTTCTATCAAGTAGAAATCATTGACAGATATTTTTAGAAATGTCTGAAGCAAAGTTCTCAATCACCGCTGTGAGATTTGATGTCTGCTGTTCTGCTGAAAAGTGAAACAATCGCCGTATTGTTTCTCACTACCTGTAAAGCTGATTAATTATGTTGTTATTTTCATATTTTGCCAAATTAATGTAAATGTTTGATGTTAAAATTTGATTCTGTAAATAAATGACCACATTCATTTTGATGGGTCAAAGATAAATAACGTCTCACGTTACATTTTATTAAATTCAATGCACGTTTATATTCAGTCCAGAAAAATGAAAGAATCCATTTTAATTGCTGAATATATCTCAGCATATGTTCATCTACATTTAGAAAAGGGCAGCAGCATGGTGGCACACAGCATGGTGGCACAACTGGTAGAGCTGCTGCCTCTCAGCGAGCAGGTCCTTGGTTCAAATCCCGGTCCAGGGGCCTTTCTTTTTTTTTTTTTTTTTTTTTTTTTTTTTCTTTTTTGTGAGCTCAGTTTAAGTGTAGAAACATTGTGAAGTGTTTCAATGAACTTATCATCATCGCTCAATTTTTTTTTTTTTTTTTTTTAAAGAAAGAGAAGAAAGAAGAATAAATAAATAATAAAAAAGAAGAAGATAAGACAAGAGACCACCATGACAAAACAACATGCACAGCACAATGCCACCCACAATATCACCATGAAACATTCAACATCGCACAATGAATCATCTAGCTTCCGCCACTACCCAACCTAGCGTGCATCTGTCAAAGCACCTGAATCCAAACACCCGCGCAAGTACGCCCACCACCACCAGATTTCTCCAAAAGAATGCCCAATAGTGGACGTGGGGGCCCACAGACCCGCCCCCCCAGGACACAATGGCAACATAGGGAGGACCGGAGCCACAGACACACAGCGGCCCACAGGCCCGGAGCCCCAAGAGTCTCCCAACAGGGAGAACCGCACCCCACCAGAGAGGAGCAGAGGAAAGAACCGGGTGACCCCAGCCACCACAATGCAGAGCCTCCAGGAAGCTGCAACGACGAGCCCACAGGCCCGGCCAGCGACCCATGCCCCCCCCAAGTAGATCCGGCCATGGACACCGAGCCCCAAGCCCCGAGGTCATACCACCCCCTAGCAGAGCCCCGACAGAGCCAGGGCACCCAGGCCCCGCCAGGCAGCAACCAGGGCGGACCGACGTGCACCCCACCACCCAGCCCAGACACCGAGAGCCACCAATGCACCGGCGGCAAGGGAGTCCCCCGCCAAAGGGGGGCACGACCGGGGGGAGTGGACCCCACACCAAACGTGGGGCCCAAATTGATCCAAGAGAGGGGGGACCACCAAAAACCCAACCCGAGCAACCAACAGGCACACACAGATAGCCCGACAGAATCTCTGTCGGGCCGACCGCATGCACCATCTACCTGACAGCGACCACAGGCCGGCCCCAGCCCAAGGGGCAGAGCAGCAGGGAGCCGCAGCCGAGGAGGGCCGGCTCTCACATCAAAAGCCCCGCACCATAGGCCCGGAGACGCCCCAGCACGCCACCCATGCACCCCCCCACACACAGAGCACCCCCACCGCAAATGTCACACAGGAAGACCAGCCAGTGCCCCGATGAAGCGAAGCCACGCCCCCAACCGCCGCCCTACACCACCAATGACCACACGTACACTACCATAGCCGACCCCCCGCCAAAAGCCGGCAGCCACCCCGGTCAGAGTGCCGGCCATCGCAACCAGGAACCTAGATTAAAAGAAAGGGGCCTTTCTGGGTAGAGTTTGCATGTTCTCTCCGTGCATGCGTAGGTTTTCTCCGGGTACTCCGGTTTCCTCCCACAGACCAAAAACATGTATGTTAGGCTGATTGGTAACTCTAAATTGTCCATAGGTGTGAGAGAGTGAATGGTTGTTTGTCTCTATGTGTCCCTGTGATGGACTTGCGACCCGTTCAGGGTGTACCCCGTCCCTCGCACAGTGATTGCTGGACATGGGCACCGGCGACCCCCATGACCCAAAATGGAAGAAGCGAGTAAAAGATAATGGATGGATGGATGTTTAGAAAATGTTTCCAGTACTTTCAGTGCTGAGCCAGTGATGTGTTCTGAAGGCATTCCCCCTGCTCTCACCTCTCTTAACCCTGAGAATGGAACATCTGCCTTCTCCATTCAGTAAAATATGCTGCTTTAATAATAGCTCTGGACATATTGCCTTGGGGAAAAAAAAAAGTGTGACGGGGTTGGGGGGTGGACATTTGGTCGGACCCCCGGCTCTCTAATTTGTATTCTCTCCCAGTGATGTACGGGAGTGTTCTCACTGGTCAGCCTTACCCTTTTTGTAGAACAGTCTTGACCTGTTCCCACTGCAAAGTGTGTGTGTGTGTGGTGGTGGGGATGTTCTGTCACAGAGGGGTAATTTCCATGAGAAAGGAGCACCAAGAATGCACAAGGGGCCATGTTTTACTTCTATGAGGAGGCTGCAGATGCAGTTCAGGGGTGCACAAGTGTTTCTGCATTCATCATGTTGTGGTTGCCTCATGTTCTGTATATCCTCTTTGTCTGCTCTGATTTAAAAAAAAATCTAAAAATATATTACAGTAGCATAAACTATTATGTAAAAGTATAATTAAGAGTGGCTAAATATTGCATGCGCCCACTGGACATGCTACAACTTGTTGCTGCTGCCATAGTTTGCACTTGCAAATAACCAATTAATTCTGTGTAAATAAGCATGTAATGCAAAGGTTTCTGAAAGGTGACATGTGAAGTGCTGTGAAAATATGGATACTGTAGCTGCTTAAACATAAATCAACTTCATTTCAGGTACTTTTTCATGCCAATTCCTGAAATTTTTTCTAAGGTTAACATGAGACTGTGGTCGTGTTTTTTCTGTTTTGTGTCTACAGCATATAGTTTCTGCAGTAATGTAATGTTCAAGTTTGTCCATTGAGTACATACTGTTCGCTGCATGCATCGTTCCTTACCCTGGAAATATGAGCTACCAATACCTCGAGCTTTCCAGCCATGAATGCGTACAAGCTCTTGTGTGGGCGGCTCCCAACAGAGGAGGGAGTGGTGGAGAGGCGGAGCTTGTGTTCCGCTCTCTGATTGGCTGAGAGTGACGTATCGGAAGCTCTTCCTGGTGAGTCGGCTCTACAGGGAGGAGGAAGGAGGAGAGGCAGCAGACTGCGGTGTTGTTAGTTTGAACAAAATGGCTGCGAGATCGCTGTCAACGAGAGCTCCCTGAACCGCCTACAGTCAGCGTCCGCTCCGTGGTTTGGATCAACACAGAATGTATTTTCTCGGAGCTGCGACTAACTTCGCCTTCGCGGTAGTCAGCCCGTCACCAGTCGCCCATTCGGCGACTTAAACAAACAAACGCTTCTTTTTTGCACTTTAAAACAAGTTGGCTGGCTGACGGCCGTCGGCTTGCTCAGTGACAACTGCTCGAAGATTTTTATTTTATTTTTTACTAAAACTGCCTGAATTCTGGTTTGCAGAACCTCGCAAAGCCAACCAGCTAATGATAACTTCAACAATTCAGCTGCTTATTCGATGTCATTTTGTTCGTGTTTGTTTGTTTGTTTATTATTTGCGGTTCTCGCCCCGCCCCTCATGGTGTGGTTTTAAATTCTGGCCCAGTAGAATCTGAAGAACTATTTATTTGAATGTTTTCTTGCTCCAGGCAGAAGTCGCCGTGTTTGCTGTGTTTGTCTGGCCTTGGGGGGCCGTTGTTTACCTCGAATATTCTCTGAAACACCCACTCTGCTCCTCCATAGAGCCTCACTTTAATTAATATTAATTTGTGACTCCATCGCTTTACGGGTAACTTCAAAAGAAGAGGAGGGAGAACAAAATGCTTTTTTGGGGGGCATTTGTTCCTGCCATGCACCGACTCTTCACTGAAACAAGCGGTCAGCTGCTGAACGAGAGGTAAGTTTCAAAACAAAAACTTATTTTTGTCATAAATGAATGATTGTGCTCCAGCTGAAATGAACAAACTAGCAGCTTGGCATCATTTTGTTTATTTGTATATCTTATCTAATAACAGCATTTCCCACACTATTGTTTGCTTCTTCTATGAAATTGGGTTTATTGGTATAATTATCATTAAGGCGTGTAAATGCTGGATTCTTGTGTGTTTTGTTACGACTGAATGCACGTGTCATATGGTGCATTCACGGACTGATTTTCAGTTCCTGCTTGCACTTCATTAGTTATTCTAAAGTAATGGCACATTTTATGTTTTTATACCTTGATTGCTACTTGTACTATAACAGCAAAGTTGTTGTGGTTTATTTAATGTGTGGATTAGTTCGTGCTCATTTTAGTCGCAGCTATAGTATGTATTTAAATTGCTACATTTTGCTGATAATTTTAAATATTTTTCTCTATGGTTCGTTCTGTATCCGTATCACAGCATGCATCTTGTACACTGTTGTACATTCCAGCACACTGGTTGTTAAATATTGTCTCCTCCCACCTCCAAATGAAAGCTGGGGATTCTGATTAAACTGTCGCATTGCCCCTTCCTGCATCCTGACCCTAGGCACTGAAGTATAGCTTTTAATATCTCCTCTGCGTGTCTTAATTGAAGTACATAATTTCCTGCTCGATTTCAAACCCCCTTTTCTCTCTCGCTCTGACATTTTTGTCACAACATCTCATTGCCACACACCAGCGAGGCGATGAAAAATGCACACATGCACTACATTGTAAAAATATAAATTGGGATGTGGCGGGAACAGCATTCGAATGCTCATTTATTGTGTACGTTTGTGGTCCGCCAGTAAGAAAAGGAGCGTCTTGTGTCCGAGTCAGTCCACGCCTACACAAACGGAGCAGCGTTTGTTGTTTTTCCTGTAGGACTTTGTTCATTTAAAGGTCTGAGTTGAGATCTGGAGCTGACTGTCCAGATCAGACACAGTCAGCTGTCTGCAGGAGGCTGAACCTACCTGTCTTTACAAAACAACGCTAAAAGACTAACACTTCTGTGAAGAAGGAGAACACAAATAGATAAAAATGCAGTAATTATACCTATGATAATATAAGTATGTTTGGATCTTAAACTACCAGTGGGATTGCTCCAATAGGCATGAAGAGGTTTGGTTTTGTCATTGTTATCCATTTCAAACTACTATTGCTACTATTGGTATATGTGTGCAACTGTAGTTCTTTTTCCTTGGCACAAAACGATAAAAAAAAAAAGAAGAATTAGGGCCCAGAAACACTGAATTCTTTGACTTTGTCTGTTTTGGCAGCATCCTAGCAGGAATTACCCACATTGGCTCTAACCAGGCTGCAGGCTGTTGGCATCTAGGCACTGTTTTGATTAGACTGTTGTAACGACGCCATGAGGACGAACTCTGGCAATAACTCCCATCTGCAGCCGCTTATCACACAAAAGGGCAGGATCATTTATTTACAGGGGAAACCCAAGGCTGCCTTCCCCTTATTTGACCCATTACAGACAAAACTCAAAGCCTTTTATCAGTAGTCTTGTTCTGCCTGGAGGCAAAACTGCATATTCAACTGACCTGCTCTTCCTTTATCACTGCATTCCATCGAATACTTTTTGCTATTAAATATTGCTTATTTTATATCTTCACATAGACAATTTAACTCATCCGAACGTGGTTAACAAAATGTGCCAGGTTTTCTATTTTACAATGATTCTTGTTTGGCTTGTGTTGTATGTCCCTTGTTCCCCATGAGTGACCTTAGCCCAGGCCCAACTGTGACCGTCACTGAGCCTGTGATTATGAGGCTTTTCAAATGACTGGCACAGTCCTGATGTATAACGTGCTTAACACCGCCGCAGGGGGCTGCTCCAGTAGGGGAGCGTTGACAGTAGAATCAGCTGGATTCAATTGGAGGCTGCCAAAAGCCATTATCCTCTTCCTCCGCTCCTTTTGTGTTGTGGTTTTGAAGTGAAGAAGGGCAGGATATAGATTTACCAGGTGTTTGTTTCCAGTGCGATCGTTGTACTAAATGCAGTGATTGTGTAGGAGGGGGTGGATCTCATCTGTGTTGACAGCAGTTATGATGAGGCACAACAAAGCCTGAGGAGGCTGCAGTATCCTGAGATGGACGATGTCGGCAGGTCTTTTTGTATTTAGATGTTTTTAGTTTACAAGACTAGTTATGTGATTTTTTAAAGAAATCTAATAGGATTGTTTAAAGTGTTAAGATGTTTAATGTGAAGCTAACAGGTGTTTGGTTAGTCATAAATGTAGTTCAGAGGGAGAAAGGTCTTTGGAACGTCTTCCTTCTCGTCTAAGTTGTGTGCCAATGAAGGGAGTGGGGGCTAAAGGGGCCCATCAGGGGTGAGCTGGGATAGAGGCAGGGCGATGGTGGAGTGAGAGCAGCTGAAGCCAGCGAGCTGCCGCCCGAGTCTTTGCAGGGGTCATGGGGAATGTTTAGTGTGCCAAGGCTTGGTGAGCCCCCCCCGCTTGCTTGGAGAGAAGTAGATGGGAATCACATGGACACATGCAGGACATCCAATTCGCTTTGTTTCCTCTTTGCTGGCCCACAAAACATTAGACAACCTTACATATTATGTAACAGGACTTAAGCCCTGCAGGACTTCCTGAGCTTTAAGTTGAGGCCGAGTAAACAGCAGAGCCTGACCCTGAGCTGGGGCCACGGCTTAGGCCCATAAGCTCCAGTCAGTGTGTTATTGTCCAGGTTTGTAAGTAGGGATGCACAATATTATCGGCATGGTATCTGTATCTGCTGATATTAGCGATAAAGGTAAATATCGAACATCGGTCATTCCATCAAAATAACTCACCAATATTAAAGGCGCTATTTTTTAAAATATATTTATATAGTGTTACATCATTTTCACCCCCCCTTTTTGGCATCATCATTTGGTAGCAGGCCAAATTGACAAAGACCATGCAGAATAATGTATTTTAATTCCACAGCTGAGAAAGCTATGTAGTCTATGTAAGTAGGTCTAGGGCAAAGTATTGGTATTGGTTATCGGGCAAACAAGTTTTAACATATCGTATATCGGCCAAAAATCCAATATCGTGCATCCCTATTTGTAGGTTTGAGTAAAGTCAATAAAAAGTGTGCTTTTTCTTTGCATTTGTAAAATTCCTTTTTAATAATGCCTTGTGATGTAAAAAAAATGCTGCTAAAAGTTTTAAACCGAGCTTGTGTTTGAGCTGTGACCCAGTTTAAATTTCAACGTTTCAGTCTAGCTGATTAATTGCCGAGTTCAGAACAGTTTGATTTAATATTAAATAAGTCAAAGTATATGTGGAAACTAGAGAACTGGGGCATGAAAGCCGCATTAATTAATATTACATAATTTATTTGTTTAACAGTGTGAGACTTCTACCACAATGCATCTCTGCAGCTTGGTGCCAAAACAGGTTGCAGGATTTTCATTCTCACTGGACTAATTAAACAAACAAAACTATTTAAATTAAATTTAGTTAGAAGTTAATGTGCATATCCTAACATTCTGTTTTTGTTACCTTAACACAAAATTTAGCTTTTCTGTACCCAAATAATATGTCGGAAATAAATTTTGTCATTTTTTATAAACAGGCTGCAGAATATTCACAACCAAGTAGAATTAAATTTGGTTGTAAAACTGTATAAATAAATTCATATAAACACGCGTGTCTCGACATCTGCTTCTTGAATTCTCGAAGCTTTAGCCGCTGATGACAAGGAGCGGCTCGCTCGGTCGGGTGCATTGTGCTGTTTTCTAAATTAATGAGCTGCCACTGTGTTTAAAGTTTCATATTGACTTGGCAGAGGCAGCAGCCAGGAGTATGAGAGCTTATTTCCTTTGTTTATGTCAAAGGCTAAACTATCTTGCTATCTGATTCTGTGACTTTAATCACTCTGTCACCCACCTGTTCGTATTAAAGTCAATCTGTCAACCACAGATTTTACCAATCCAGAATATTTTTATCGAGCAACGCCTGTCCGGTTGCTCTATATTTTCCTAAAGCCTATTTTTAATCAAAGCTGGTATATATTAGTGACGTGAATCTTTGGCACCTCACTATTTGATTTGATTACAATTGGAATCAAGAATGCTGTGATTCAATTAAAATGATTATTGATGCATCTTGATCATCTGATTGTCAGTTTTTATGGATAAACACAAAGAGGCAGCAAGTAAGCTCGTTATTATCAGGAGTGCACAGGAACATATCTCAAACCCCATTAATTAAAGACTGCTGACCAACAGTTAACATAGTTGCTAACTTAACGCTGAAGCTGCTTCCAAAAAACAAACTAATTGTATTGCATTGTGTTTAACACTGAAAATGTCACAAATGCCATTAAATTTTTATATTATTACTTAAACAGTCAGTCATGTTCTGTTGTTCAGATTTATTCTCCTGGGTACAGCAAAGTGAAGATATGAAATCACATAGCAGCATGTTTTAGCAGCTACGGCAACCCATCCAGGACAAACTGGACTGAGTTGTAACCACCGTACTCTGACCGTCTTAACTATGGCTGCACAGATTAATCTTAAAATCTATTCAAAATGATCTACGGCCACAATGCAATCGATCTAAAAATGAATAACTCCCAGCTTTAGTATGCACAGAATATTTACGGCCCCAGCCAGCAGGGTGGATGTTACTGACTGCTGATCAGCTGTGGAATTTACACTCAATAAGCTCCTTCAAAACCACTCAAGCTGCATAAAAGAAAACTCAGAGCAGCGCACGTTAGGTCAAGGTATTAAAGATGAAGTTCCTAGGAACGGGCTGCCTGTGTTTTATGTAATTGGGTTCAGTACATTCTTGTGGTTTCTGTGATGGATTTACCTCGTTTTGTGGACTCCTGTTATTAGTGCTGGTATGTAGTGAGAGGTGTTGCTCTGACAGCTGCTTCAAAGACATGGGACTGAAGGTTTTTATGGCTGTTTGTTTGCTTTTCAAGTTTCTGTG